CGGAGAGCGAGAGCACGCCGGGCCGCCCCTCCGCCTTGTCGATGTTCTTGAGCCAGATGCCAATCACGTCCTGGACACACCTCGGACGGCATTAGTGAGCACCAACTACGGCGATGGGAGAGTGCTCCAGTTTGAAGGCCTGGAAGCACTCGTACGAGCGGCGAGGCGAGTGCCTAGTCCCATACCACCCACGGGACTGAACCCACACCGGATTCGGTACTTTGGAGGGAAGGTAGGGCGGCGCGAGTGCGTCGTGTCTCGGATCCGGCCCTGGTTGGTGAGAAGCTCCTTCTGCAGCTTCTCGTCGCTGTCGAGGAACCCGTCGTTCGGCACCTAACTCGTCAACCAATTCATTCACTACTATTGATGGGTCGCTGTCGGGCCCGTCGCTCGTGCACCAAGTAGAGCTTGCACAAGTTGACGAACTGCAGCGAGAACCCCTGGTAGCCCATGAGCAGCCGGATCACGTCGTAGCGGCGCAGCTCGAGCGCGTACTGCAGCGCCTGATCTCGTCCAATCTCGCGTGAGCTCGCGAGGTCTCGAGGAGGCCAACTCGCGCGCGTGCTGCAGCGCCAGCTGGTGCGACTTTGTGAACTCGCCCTTCGGGTTGTGCTGCTCCTTGAAGATCGCCTACGCGTGTCCGAGTCCGCTGACTCACGACTGCCCTGCCCCCTTCGGGCGGTGCTGCTTCGCTGAAGATCTCCTCCACCACGAGAGGCCGGTTCCACTTTACCGCGAGCTGGATCGCGCGCATCCGCCGCCGCCGCTGCGCATGCTGCAGCGGGTCCGCCGCTGTCCCGAGCGTTGACGACTCGGGCGCTGTCCCGAGCGCTGACGACTCGGGCGAAGCCATGGACTGGCTCGCCAGTGATGCGTTCGACTCCTGCAGCGCCAAGGCTGGCTGGGCGAGGCTCGAGGGCGTGCCGGGTCGGTCCGGCGGCGTGATGCGGCCGGCCGAGTCGCCTCCTCCCGCCACCCACAGCCGCACGATCGCCTGCGGGGGAACAGCGGGGACGAGTCTGACACTCGCCGCTTGGCCGCCATCACCCCCTCTCCCCCCCCCCTCTCCCCCTCTCCCCCCCTCTCGCCTGCAGGAGGACGTTGGACATGTCCTCGGTCGCCTCGAGCACCCCATCGTTGTTCACCTGGAAGAGGGCGATGAGCTCATCAACATTGACTAATCTCGAGATTAATTTTGATGAGTAACTAACTAATGTTGACCTGGAAGAGGGCGATGAGCTCATCAACATTGACTGATCTCGAGATTAATTTTGATGAGTAACTAACTAATGTTGACCTGGAAGAGGGCGATGAGCTCATCAACATTGACTGATCTCGAGATTATTTGATGAGTAACTAACTAATGTTGACCTGGAAGAGGGCGATGAGCTCATCAACATTGACTGATCTCGAGATTAATTTTGATGAGTAACTAACTAATGTTGACCTGGAAGAGGGCGATGAGCTCATCAACATTGACTAATCTCGAGATTAATTTTGATGAGTAACTAACTAATGTTGACCTGGAAGAGGGCGATGAGCTCATCAACATTGACTAATCTCGAGATTAATTTTGATGAGTAACTAACTAATGTTGACCTGGAAGAGGGTGATGAGCTTGCCGCCGCTCTCCTCGTTGCACCTATGCGCCAAACACACAACGCACACTGGCAAACGCCTCCTCCGCCCCTCCGCCCCTCCGCCTCTGCGCCGCTCGCTTTCGGATCTCTCTTAGCTGTCCGAGATGTGGGGAGATGTGGGGAGATGTGGCGAGATATGGGAGCTTGCTGAGGGCGGTGGCGACAGAGTCCGGGGTTTGCGGAGAGGGCGGGTGCGAGGAGGCGGCCGCTGCGCCTGGTCGCACGACGAGCCGTAGTAGTTCCACGACGGCAGCTGATCGAGCGACGCCTTTGAGAGAGCAGGGCCTCTTAGGCTCTGAGGTGGTGGGAGCAGGCGGCGAGGCTGCAGTCGCCCCA